CTCTTCAGATAAAACTGTACTAAAACAATAAATTGCGCAATTTGGGGAGGGAGCTATGCAAAAAGAATGCAAGGACTGTACCTGAGTCCCAAATTATGGAGGAAAGGGAAGGAATTTCCCTGTCTTTCACTCAGCACCCCAGCCATTTTTGCTTTGTCTCTATGCCCCTTTCTGCAGAATGGTTTCTAAAACTGCTTCATTTTCACGATCTCTTGAATTTGTTATTGTTGAGTGAGGGTCTTGTTTCTCATTTTATCTTGCCTCAGAAATATTCCTTCAAATTACTGTAAGAAGTGGGACTGTAACTTTTAGTTCCTAATGAATAGCCAGTGCCTGACAAAACTGTCAAGTTTTAAAGTGTCTTTTATTTTGCTTTTTTGTTTTCTTTATTTTGTGTGCTTGTATGGGATCAGAGGACAATCTGTGAGGGAGTTGGTTCTTTCCTTCTGCCCTGTGGGTCCTGGATATCAAATTCAGATTGGCAGGCTTGGCAGCAAACACCTTAACCCAATAAGCCATTCTCACTGGCTTGAAACAATGAATTTTTGTTGTATATGGGCAGCGGTGGCACACATCTTTAATCCCAGCACTCAGGAGGCAAAGGCAGGCAGGCGGATCTGTGTGAGTTAAAGGCCAGCCTGGTCTACAGAGAGAGTTCCAAGACAGCAAAGGCTGTCAGCACTCCTCCACTGAGCTACATTCCACACTTGACCCTTTTCTTTGATTTTTGGTTCAAGACAGGGTTTTGGTTTTAAGACATTTTATTTATGCAGATGGGGAGGAGCGCCACCTGTAGGCAGATGTCTGAGTAGGCAGAAGAGGTTATCCAGTCCTCTGAAACTGGAGTTTCAGGCAGTTGTGAGCCTCCCAATTCGGGTGCTGAGAACTGAACTCTGCTCTAGAGGAATAGCAAGTGCTCTCAGTCACTGAACCATCATCACTCCAGCCCTGAGACAGGGTCTTGTAGCTGGTGTTTTTAGGGCAAAAACCCAACTTAAGCAGCCCCAACTCCCTAGGCTCTGCCAACTGCCTTACCAGTTAAGAGTAACAGTGAAAAATAGATTTATTCAGTGTGGTCAAACTAAAAAGAGGAAAAGATAGAGGAGCCCAGTGGTCCCAAGACCATTTGGGGGTTACTTAAATGAGCTTTAGGTGTAAGTAGAGGAAGAGCTGCAGTGGGCAGCACCCTGGGCAAGGTGTTGTCATTGTCTCAGCTCTGGTTCTTCAAGTTGGCCCCAAACTCATCCTTGAGCCAAGAAGTGGTGGTGCTGGCCTTTAATCCCAGCACTTGAGAGGCAGAGGCAGGAAGATCTCTGTGAGTTCAAGGCCAACCTGGTCTGCAGAGCAAGTTCCAGAACAGCCATGGCTAAGCAAGGAAACCCTGTCTCAAAAGATAAAAACAAAAACAAAGTAACAGGCCAGGCAGTGGTGGCCCACACCTTTAATCCCAGCACTCAGCAGGCAGAGGCAGAGGCAGGCAGATCTCTGTGAGTTCGAGACCAGCCTGGTCTACAAGAGCTAGTTCCAGGACAGCCTCCAAAGCCACAGAGAAACCCTGTCTCGGAATACCAAAAAAAAAAAAAAAAAAAAGGAACAATAATAATAATAGTCATCCAGGAAGCTCAGTCCAACTCTTACAAGCTGATCACTCCTGCTTCAGGGTACAGTTTTACTGTTATCGATAATTACCCTCATCCAGGAATTCAAGGTGACCTTAAGGCGAGATTAAGGACAATGATAGAGCTGTACTTCAGCCAAAGCAAAGGAGACAGACAGGAAAGGAGATTTCAAGCTTACTTGCTCTGGTTGCTAGAGCCGGTGTGAGGAGTCACTGCTTCTGAGAGGAAGGAGATTCTAACTGAGCACCTAGTCTGATCTCAGTATGTTGTCCAGGCTAGTCTTGACCTCACTCTGCAGCCCTGGTGGACCTTGAATTTGCTGTCTTCCTGCTTCACCCTCTGGAGTAACTGGAATCACAGGACTATACCACCACACCCAAGTAAACTTTGGGTTTTCAATCTGAAGGTTCTGGACTCATGTGAGACTTTGACTAAATAAATTTGTTATGCTTTTTTTGTTTGTTTTAAACAAAAAACATGAATGAAAACAAGGCCTCATTTATGCTGTGCTGGGGACTGAACCTGGGGCTTCATACATAGCAATGGAACACTGCCCCCAGAGCTACAGCCTCAGCCTATGCTTTTCTCTGTCTTTTGATATGGGATCTAACTTTTTCTTTTGTTATTTTAAGATATGATCTAATGTAGTCCAATGGGGTTGGGGTGCTCAGGGGCAACTCCCTTATGCCCTAGTTTCCACCTCTGGGGTGGCTGAGGGTGACAAACCTGTGTGCTTCCTGCACCTCGAATTAGGCACAGCTTGGGATGGATCCCAGGCCCCCAGACATGTCATGCTGGCCCTCTACCCACTGAACTACATGACTGTTATCATCTTTTGATATGGCAGTGTAGGCTGTGACTTGTATGGTGGACTAGAACTGTATTCTGCCCCTGTAGTAGCAGGTGTCATGGTTAGACTGGCTTTCCCATTCTTGGATTATGTTACTATTTCTTCCTAAAGAAAGCCACTAAGGCAACTCTTCCTTCCCCCTCTGCTTACTACAACAGGGCAGGAAGGACAAGGCCCCAGTTCTTCCCTGTTCTCTGCCTGGTGAGGGAATGGATTCCCAGGTGCCTCTCAAGTGGTCCAGTTCAGTATTGTTAAATTGGGTCAACAATCTAGCTCTGCCAAGTTGCCCAAGAAGAGGTGGGTGTCTAAGCATTTCTTCTGTCTACTCTGCCTTTCTGCTGTGTTCTAACAGGGTCAGGGACTCGTGTGTGTGTGTGTGTGTGTGTGTGTGTGTGTGTGTGAGAGAGAGAGAGAGAGAGAGAGAGAGAGAGAGAGAGAGAGAGAGAGAGAGAGATGAGCACATGAGTGAGCAAGAGCATAAGTTATGTGTACATGTGTGGGGGTGGGGTGCATATGCCCCGGGCAGTGGTTACCATTTCCCCCAACTTTCAGCTCTCATTCTTACCTACTGTTAAGTCTTCCCAGACTCCATGCTCAGCTTTTTTTTTACAAAA